AATGTAAATTATTAAAATTTTAATAATATTGTAATAAAAATATATTGCATAAAACCACCCACATCGCACCACCCTTGGATTAAAAATTTCTTTCTTGAAGATTTGCTTCTCTTTTACACTTTTGAACAGAAACACTTGAAGGATAATCCCCACATTTATGTAATAAACAGAAACCAAACCAATTTTCTTTTAAGCACATACATATTATATCGATGTGACACCAATAACCCCCTATCAAACCCACGTATAACGATCATCCTCGAAGGCTTGTTCCAACAACCGGAAAAACAGAACCATCATCGCTCCTAAGCCAAAAAGTGAAACGGATCTTTCACCACCCCCCTCCTGCGTATATTTGACGAGAAAATTAACTTCCCGTAAGGGCCCGTTCGCACTTGGCTCCCAACCCCCCAAGCCACACACAAAACGCTCGACAAACAGGATCAAGCCGTCCTATATGGTAAAAGGATCCCAATGTCTCTGACCCGCTCTCTCTATACCCGTAAAAACGAAATACTCTCAAGTGCAGTATCCCCCTTCCCCTTTGCCCTGCATTTTTCGGTGTGCATCACACCCCCCGCCCCTAAAAAACATAGAAAAAGCAAGGGAGAGAGATCGTCCATTGTACACCCATCCGTATATACTGCACGCACAAAGACACGCACTCGATGACTCGGCTCTCCTCGAGAAGAGGACAAACAAGCCCCCCCAATAACCCCGAAGAAATAGAGACCAGAGAGCGACGACAGCAGGTAGGCATATACAGCTTCTTCTTCGTCAATCAGCCCCCCCCCCCTGTGTGTCTGTATCGAAGGAAAGAGTGGCTCGGGGGGCGCACATTATGCTCCCGGGGACACTAACAAAACAGAGCGCGCACACCCCTGACGCTGTATAGGATGTGCTCTACTCGAAGCGCCTCCTCCCTCCGGGCTATAGATTACCCCCCCTCATCTCTCTGTCTCTTGAACTTATTATTCCGATCTGAAATCTATACGTGTGAGGCTTTGGGCCGGTAAGCCGGGCGCGATTGCAGTTGGCCCGCGTGGGGACAAAGGACAATGTTTGGACAGCGTCTGGTCTCTCGGCTCTTCGAGACTTGCGCGCGTGATGGGTATACGCGTCGATGCGACAGGATATGCTTGGAAAATTATATATTTATATCTGTATGTGAAACTTGGGGGATTCATCACTGTCGCGGGTCATGGCTGCAGTAAAACGGTGGTGTAGTGGGTAATGGGGAGACCCTGTGCACAGCGTGGCGGATTAACGGCGCGTGGCCTCCTTTTTCCCGAGCCTCCGTGTCTCGTTTTCTCGGCTGAGCTGTAATCAGGCGCGGGGTGCACCCACAGCCCAAGGCGAAACTCGTGATCTTTCGTCTCGAGGCTAGACCGCTCTGTATTGTGGGGGTGTATGCATTGGTGCACGTGAAGCGATAGTAGCATCGAGGAGACGAAGAGTATTTTACGGAGGCATCTCTAGTGGAAAAGTATAGGAGAGAGAGAGTGAGATCATCGTTCTCGGTTTATTGGCACTGATGCTTATTTCTTTCGTGGTCTGTTGAGGTACAGTATAAGTACGCGTTGGTTTTGTAAAATCGGTGGCATTGCAATTACGTTGGCGCGGTGCCTTGTCGGCAAAATACAAATTTTCAGTGGGGATCGACAGACACGCGAGACATGGTGACGTTACCTTGGTCCTCGGAGTCCTCCTGTTTGCAGGGATCGGTGCCGAGTGGCAAATCGCCGCCGGGCCCGACTACCTGATCCCCAGGGCCGCCCGGGCCCATACCGTGGATGCCGAGGTGCGGCACGCCAACACCGCCGGGATGCTGGTGACCCATCCCGCTGCCATCATCGTCCTCGTCCTCGGAGCCGGAACCCATTAACGAGTCGCCACCTGCAAGCAGAAACATGACAAGTTCCTTATTTCATTGTTATTCTATTTTCGACTCATGGTTTTTGTTTGGAAAAGTTGATAACGTTTTTTCATGCAAAAAAAAAGGGATCTCTGTACTTCCAACGGTGTTTCTGAGACGCATTATTTATTCTTTCGTTTCCACTATATTTCACAAAGCTGTGGCGTCTCTGCCTCGTTACACATTTCGTGATCGATACGTGCAAGTCTCGAACACTCTTGCGAACGCGCGAGGAGACTCTGTCCCGACCAAGTAACCTACCGGGTCCGACGCTTTGGACGGAACCAAAACTCGATGGGACAAAAACGTTTTCGAATCATCCGAGGAAAAAAGCTCGCGGAAGCAGGTGTCGGATAGCGTACGTTTATACAACAAACGCGCAGGTGTCCTCGCGACGAGAGGCAAAAAAAAAAAAAGCAATTGACCATCGGCCGAGATATGGATCGGGCAACTTTTGAATTTTGCCATAAAGCCCCCTTCCCTTGTTTCGCCTCAACCCTTTTACCTCTTCCATCTATCACCCTCCGAAGCTCTTTTCACTCATTTTTACATCGCTCGCTGCTCTTTCATCGTTTTCAGCCACAAAATATCAAAATTTACTCTCTACTGTACGGTAAAACATGTTACCCATTGTCGATGACAACAACCAGCAGAGAAAAGAAACACCGATCGACGCAATCGGCAATCGTATACATACACAACGAAAAGTCATCAGCGTACAATTCTTTTTTTTTTTTCCATCGATCACCTTAGCGCTCAAAAGACGGCTACCACCCACCGTCGTTCCTCAATCTCGCGAAGAAAGCCAACACCTCCGCGCATCACAATATACATCCAAGAGAAAAAGAGTACAAGCGCGTCGAATCCCCGGGTCGATTAGTCGGGGCTTACCTGAAATAACACGCGCTAATAACGCTATGATAACCGTGTATACACCTTCCCGGGAGGCCCGTGCGTGTACCATGGCCCACAATAATTATTGTTCTTTCTTATTACACACGCGCCCAATGGACGTGCGGTATGTATAAAAACATGTATGTATTGTATAGGGTTCGTTGCTCAGCTTGCGGTTGCACGCGCTGTATACGGTCGGCGCGCCGACAAAAGGAACCCGCTGCGTAACGTAACGACCTTCGCTTCTCGTTCCCTCTGCTCTCCTCCTCGTCGTTACAAAACGCTTCTATCTCTCTCCCTCTTTTTTTTTTTTTTTTTTTTTTTTTTTTTTTTTTTTTTNTGCAATTATTTTTATCATCATCATTATCATCATCGTTATTGTTATCATTATTGCTGTTACTAACATTATCATATTTAAAAATTATATTTTCATATTATAGGTTAAGGTTACTTCCGTTCGTTTATTTCGTATTTCAAATCTAAACAATGTTTTGGTCCTTTTCCATTTTATCACAATAAGATATAGTATCAGTAGAGCCAATAAACTTAAATTTTTCACTTCACAATAGCTTGAGGTATTATTATTAAAATTTACTGCTTAAAATTTTCAGGACATTGACAGAATAGATTTTAGTAATTCTCAAATTTCATTAAAATAAAATGGCTATGGTTTTTTAAAAATAAATAAAAAATCTCGTAACGGAATTTAAATCATACAGCGATGAATTAAGAAATCTCGTTCAGGCTAAGGTTAAAAAAAAGGAAGCTTCTTATAAACTCAAACCTAATTCTTTTCTTTTTTTGAACCTTTTTTCACGAGTCGTGATTGTATAATATATTCATACAGATGGTGCTGGCACCCGTATAATGTGGTTAACAAATCGTGGCTGGCTGCTCCCTTATTCGTTGTTTTGTATACGCACTTATTATCAGATAAATTATACGTATTCGTATGGAAATTATTAATCCCACTCGTGTATATCTCAATTATATTTCAGGCATACAATGGATCCGATAAGTGATTTCTGAATCGGTGCGACGCGCGAGTCCAATTTGTCATTGAGCGAAGCATACACCTCGTTCCAAACGGGGGAAAAAAAGGAACCGAATGAAATCAGTGCTTGGAATTTAAAAGGATCCGAGAGTCGACTCAAAAAAGGCTTGATTCACGTATACCTATACTAAAAACGCTGTGGTGTTGCAAAAAAAAAAAAAAAAAAAAGAAAGAAAAAATAATAAACAGGTGACTCTGACGAATTGACCGTATAGTAGGAGCTTCCAATGCTCCCATTGAGGAAGAATATTTTATATGTATATTATAGTGTCACACGCATTAAAGCGAAGCACCACCGTATGGCATGTGTCCCAGAACGAGAAATATGTCTATAGATTGGCAAAGGGAACGCATGTATAGACACGTTATTAAGGTAGAAGACTCGAAAATTAGTCGCTACTTCATGTACACACTCGTATACATTCGCAAGTTGATAAATCACAAAAATTGACAAAGGACAAAATCAAACAGGCTCACGGGGTATAGCTGGTTTTAGATTTTTTAAATAAGGTACCACTAAACGTATATAACACGCACGGATTATCATGATAATGGTGGGCACCAGGATGACAAGGGATCGAGAACTTTATGCCTTGCCGGCTTGAAGTTACGATGTCCGACCGTACAAGAAATCAAACGGGAATCTTTCTGATTTTTTTTTTTTTTTTTTAGTAAGCGCGTAATATATACGTATAATATACACGAGGTGTCAATGGCACGGGCGGGTGGGCATGTTCTTTAGATTTTGACGGGGGGCTTCGTAGTGCCTTGCGGAAGGTTTATCGGTATTTTATTGTTACGTGAGGCACATTTTTTGGATTCCATTTCTTAGACTGGCGATGTGTATAGTCTTGATCTGACAGACGATGCGAGTGACCGGACGGTATAATTATATGGGCGGCTCCGATGCTGTTTTTTCTCTGTTTCTTCTGCTTCTTCTGGTGAATTGTGGGAGGAGAAGATGTTTATGAAAGCTGCCCCTTTGGTTTTTTTTTTTTTTTTTTGGGGGGGGGGAGCAAGAATTTTTTGACGAGTTCAATATTTTTCGCGCGATTGATGATGAAGAAAAATAATAATATTCAAAAGCTTCGAGAATTTGACGCACAGTAATAATAAAATAATTGGCGATTGCAATGCTTTCGGCCTATCATACACTCGACGACGATGAAATGATGAATGAAAAGAAAAAGTCAGCGGCGATGCTGTCGTTTCATCGTCGTATATGACAGCCTTTTTCTCTCGCTCCGTATCTCCACCCCGTATCGTTGCCCTGTAAAAAGCCCAACAAGGGGCATGACCCGTGACTTGAAAAAAACGGATTTATAATATATTCTCCATCGTTTTCAGGGATAGAGAATTACGCACGTGTACATCTCTAGAACGAAAAGAGACGTTCATATAGTAATATTGAGCCGTGGCTTGTGGCTGCTGGTGTTTTCGTCTACCAGACGAGGCCTTCATTTTGCTGCATCTGATGGGGCTCTGGAAAACCAGGGCCACCAGGGCCCCCTGCGTTGTTGCCGTTGTTTGGGTTACCCTGTCCACCCGCACCTGTGGGTGATCAACAGAGAATGATAATGACAGTCGTGTTTAGACTTGAATGAATTTTTATCAGGTATGCGGGTTTGTAAAAGACTTGGTTTTGGACGGGATTTTGGGGTGCTTTAAAAAAATTGTGACATTAACAAAAATATTCAACTTAACATTTAATATTCTATTAAATATTGAATTACATAGTGATTATGCAAATTTATTGTATAAAGGTATATACTTTATCATATTATT